GAGATTCACTCTCCAGCACATGTGCCAGTTACTCTGCTCTCTTCTCCAACTTCCTTCTATTCTTTCTCGCACCACCCTCTCCACCATGGATATTTCGAATCGCCACTACCACATTTCAGCTGTACGTGTCAAAGGCATCGCAAAATGTCTATCTGACTTATCCGTAACTCAAGCACTGACTTGCCCATCCTCACCGTTGTAGGGAAGGAGCTGCCATCGCCGATCTTCTGGTTCTCGGATTTGTCGGACTGTGGGGACCAGCGGTTAAGGGCGTACACCCGCTGGCAGGGGTTCAGAGACCAGTTATTATTACCCTTTGCGCATCTACCAGTCTGCTGTCTTGGTATTCGCATGCTGGAACCCAGTTCAACTCAACTCTGGCCATTCTCTGCTCACTGACACTTGCTTTCCGAACAGCTAGCTTGAGGTTCTCCAGCGACATTGCTGCCATGGTGCATGCCCTGTGGTCGCTCCGTCTAGTCCTATTGTCTACCACCAGGGTTCCTGTAGTTCATGTTGCAGGGGCTGTAATCCATTTCCTTGTGGCATCGCTTCTCCTCAGTCCAGCCACAAGGAGTCATTAAGACGCCATGTACGCGGTCTGCTATTTTTGGATACTATCGCCTTTTTTCGCCTCTGCACCCAGCGTGAAATTACGATGGAGGATATTTGGGATCCGAGATATTGCACACAGCAACTCGAGTTGGCCAAACGTCTCAAATTCGATATCACAAAGCGGTTTTTCGCTTTACGCGCTGTATTGGAGCTATTCTGGCAGCCATTGCTGGTAACAACTGTTGCTAGACATTCCTATCCACGGTACCGCTGACAAAGAGCATTGTTATGTCACGAATCATCAAAGCCGTTGATTCCAATGCAAACACAGATGACTGCCGTGTCTACAGCCTATTCGCTCTCTGGATGGCATTGTCACTATTTTCACTTGGTGATGCATATTTGGCCGCATTACAAAGGTTTTGCAAAGTTCATTATAATGGTTCTGCGTAGCAATATTTTTGCTACCCTCAAGTCGCAAACCTCCCTCGAGTATCGACAGATAAACACCCGCAGATTGTTTGGATTAGATCGAGTGGTTTAGCAGATGCAATCGATCGCTCAACGACCCTGTTAAGCAACATGCTTGCGAACTCGCTTACAATCAGCGTACTGGTTTCTACAATCGGCTGGCGTACCATCATTCCGCTTCTTACCTCGCTGGTGTATTTGGCGGTGTCACATTCTCTAACAGCACATCTCGATGCTGGAAAAGGCGCATAAGCGGAACAAACAGCCGCATCTAGGCCACACGATATTCTCGCTGATACACAACATGCGTACCATCAAGTTCTACGGCTGGGAAGAGGCATTTAGGCAGGTGGCGGACGATGATCAAGTAGACAAATTCGTGCCGCCTGCCCACCTACGGATCGCAAGATATGTGACGTCTTTGGTTGGAAGCTCTCTCCCCCAGATCTCAGCAGCATTGACAGTCTCGTCGTTCTTACACACCTCGAACAATATCGAATATGCGGATATACTTTTGGTCATGTCATCTGCCGAGTCCCTGACTGGTCTTTTCTCGATGCTCGCTTCGGCCACAGGATTATAAAGAGTATTTCTGAGACTTCCGAAGAACTAGAGATGCTGCTACGTAAGGACGATTACCAGTTTATCGCGTGCCGAAACGATGCTGACGATGTGGCTGTCTCGATGGATTGCTGCAGCTTCCAGTGGAACACAGGTGATTTTGCTCTGAAGAACATGGATCTCAGGATCAGCAAGGGCGAGTTCGCTGTGGTAGTCGGTCGTGTTGGCAGTGGAAAGTCATCGCTGTTGTCAGCGATCTGCAGCGAGATGCCAATAACAGATGGCACCCGGTCTGGTCTCTGGCAAGATCGGGTACGTCAGCCAGAAGCCTTGGATAATGAACGCAACGGTTCGCGACAATGTGCTTTTGGGAGTCCTTTCGACGAAAAGTTCTACCACACGGTTCTCGATGCATGCGCGTTGGCCGAGGACATTAAGCTGTTCCCGGCCCAGGACCTAACTGAGATAGGTTTTCGCGGGATAAACCTGTCGGGTGGCCAGAAGGCGGCTGGCACTCGCTCGGGCAATCTACTCTCGCGCCGATATCTTCGTTTTGGATGACCTGCTGGCGGCAGTTGATGCCCATGTGGAACGGCACATTATTGAAAATGTGCTTGTCGGAGAACGCGGGATCATCAGTGGCAGACGCGGATTCTGGTGACTCATGCCGAGCATGTTGTGCCCTTGGCTGACAGAGTTGTCACGCTTGTCTCTGGGTGTGCCACCGTTGCGAAGCAAGTCCCGGCGCAGCTGAAATGCGGGGCGTGATACCTTCTGCAAACAGCGGACAAACAGGCAGTTTTCAGACGACTCGTCTGCCGGTTCAGGACAGTTCACATATGACCCAGAGCGCGGTGTGGACACGCATATTTGGCCAAAGCTGTGGCAGTACATCGTGTTTTGTGGGTTCTCTGCTGTTGGTCCGTCGGTGCTGCTACACCTGGTGAGCACATATATTGTCTACCGAGTTGAGAGCGTTCGGATGGACTTGCTCTTGGACGAGAATCGAGAAACGATGGTATCATCTCTGCAAAACTACCTTGTCGCCAGTGCTGTGGTTGGTGTCGTACGGACACAGTTACACATCGTCGGAGAATGGGCACGTAGGGTTCTGTGGTCACATAGGGTCTACAGGAAGACGCGGGCCGGTGTCCTGGATTCACTCCTCAGCATGCCTTTGGTTCTATTTGAAAGCCTACCGAGCGAATCGCTCATGTACTTGTGGGGATATGACCGTAAACTAACAGGGTACTACTTCCCTGAAACCATATGTCAGAAAATGCTGGTAGTCATGGAGTTTCATGAGTATCGTTGCGCAAGTATACAGTCGATTCCCTATCCTGCTGCTCTTTGCTGCTCCTATTGTCCTGGTTTCGTACAAGGTCAAACAGGTGGCAGATATAGCGAGAGGATATGGAGATCAGATTGATGACAACCAGGGGCTTGCTTCTCCATATATACTCTACTCGGAGATTAATACAGGCGGATATGTCATGAGGATCCAAGGCGTTCTGGGTACCTTTCTTCACAAGTTTCACGTTGGCCTAGCAGTTGAAAATAATCTCTGCATCTGCTATCAAGATATCGCTGATCTACAAAGATGGCTGCGAGACCTCTTCAAGGTTATTGTAAGCGCGACCGCACTGCTGGTGACAATTCGCCGATGCGTTGCCTCAGAGAGTCATGCGACGCCTGGCTCAGTCGAAATGACTATGCGACTAGTCTCACTCTTCTTGACAGGACTTGGTGGTATGTTGGAGCTCGGAGAGGATCTCAAATTACCCTTTAGGTAGATTTTCGAGATACTCCATCTATACCGGCTTGCCACGAGAGCCAGATAACAGCGATGTCGGCGTGAATTTGTCCAGCGGACTGGCCAACGACGGGCACCATCGAATTCCGCGATTACAGCATGCGGTACCGCGAATCCCAGGACCTGGTTCTCAACGGTGTTTCATTCTCAGGTCCGACAGCAGGAGAAGATCGGGGTAGTTGGACGTACCGGTGCTGGCAAGTCGTCGCTTACATTTGCACTGATTGCGCTTGGTTAGCCCAGACAGCGGGGCCATCTTCATTGATGGGGTGGACATTTCGAGTATTGGGCTCAAGCACTTGCGCTCGAAGATCAGCATCATCCCGCAGGACCCGGCTCTGTTCAACGGCACTATACGCGAGAATCTGGACCCGCTGAACGAGTTCACTGATGATGAGGTCTGGGGCGCCATTCACAAGGGTTGTATAGATGATATAGTCAGTACACCCACAGAAACATATGGTGCGGGTGACAACAACAGCGGACCGTGGGTAGAGGGGATTGGGCTGAACAAGTGGATCGAAGATGGCGGCAGGAATTTTAGCGTCGGACAGCGTCAGCTCGTCAGTCTGTGCCGTGCACTTCTGTGGAAGCGCAAGATCCTGGTCCTCGACGAAGCAACAGCAAATGTTGATACAAAAACTGGACCAAATCATGCAGCGTGTTATCCACGAGGAGTTCAAGGACTGCACAGTTCTGACCATCGCGCACCGGCTCAGGACCGTCATGGACAGCGACCGGATTCTGGTCATGGATCAGGGCAGAGTCGCCGAGTTCGATTCGCCGGCTAATCTGTTAGCACAGGACACGATGTTCAAGGGCCTTGTCGAGAGTATGGAGCTTAACGAAAGCAAATGTCAGCCTAGCCCTAAGTAAATCCTCATATGTACACTATCAGCCTTTGAGAATCCCCCGTGCCGCGATACCAAAAACAGCATCCATGCAATCCTGGCCATAAGGATCGTGTGGTACCGCGACAAGTATATATTCTGAGAGTGATGTGTTCCCAAAAAAACAGCACATACCTGAATTCCATTTCTCAATACTAGTCTATCGCCATGTCCACAATCGAAGACCTCGAGTTCCCTAGAGCCGTTCTTGCGCGTATCATCAAAGGCACGATGCCCGAGAACGTATCGATCCAGAAGGAAGCGCGGCACGCTGTGACCAGAGCGGCGACTGTGTTCGTCAGCTATCTGGCAGCGACGGCCAACGACTGCGCACGCGAGGCCGGCCATAAGACTATTCTGGCGAACGATGTATTCAAGGCGCTGGAGGCTGTTGGGCTCACAGATTTCATCGACAAGCTGAAGGAGGACTTTGAGGCACATACGGCAATGGCCCGTGAGAAGAAGGAAATGAAGAGCAAGCAGGCTTCTGCAGATGGTGACGATGATAATGAGGATGAGAGCGATATGGCAGCGGCCACAGAAGAGCCAAAGGACGACAGCATGGAAGTTGATGAAGCAGAAGAGTCGTCCGACCCGTCCAAACGCCCACGCCTGGAGTAACTAGTGGGATAATTTAAGCCATATTCGAATTTTGGACGTGTGCGCCATAAAGGGGGTAAATATTATAAGCCTAAAGTGAGATGCTGTTTCCGAAAGAGAGGCAACGGTTAAGCGTAACATATGCTGTAAGCAGAATAGGTGAGGATACATCCTTCACGCAGCAGTGGCAGACGCCTGCTTCTTCGCGCTGTGCTTGCCTGATCGACGGCCACCACGCTTGGTGGGCCCGTCAGCTTTTGCTCTGGAGTGAGCCCGCGGCACGTCTTGAGGGAGTGACTTGGTTGCTTGCTTGTCGCCGGCGTTGCTTGCCGCGCCCTTGTTGTGCTTACGGCCACGGTGTCTATGGCGTCCAGACGAGCGACCAGGGTGGCTCTTCCCTTGAGCAGCATCGTGGTGGTGGTGCTGCTGCTGCTGTGGTGGCGATGCCTGTTGAGATGAGCGCTCTAGGGCCTGGGGATCGGCACCCTCGCTTGTCCTTCCAGCATCGGCTGCAACGACTCCAGTACTCTCCTGTAGCTCAGCATCGGAGCTATCCACACCAGGATTTTGTACATCGGTAACAGCCGACTGCAGTTCCTGGACGACGGGCTGGCCATAGAAATATGGTCCGACATTTGGAGAACCAACAGAATATACAACACCAGCATTGACTGGCGGTGGACCCATGTACATGGGCTGCATGTACGGCATATGGGCAGCGGTAACAGCAGTCGCCTGCGGGTGAGGCGGGAACGGCATGTACGAGTGCGGCGGCTGCTGCTGCTGAATATGCACGGTTTCCTGTGTAAGCACCATAGCCGTATGTTCCTGGTGGGGGCGGAGGGGGCGATGGACGCACGGCACCAGCCATATACGGAGACGCCATAATTCCTGGGTATGGCGACAGGCCCGCATTGCCATCAGCAGCTAGATCCTGGGTCACCTGTGGATAAGCGACCATACTGCCGTCTGCCTGGGATACCACGGACGGTATATACGCCGGCATCGCAGGCACAGGCGATGGCACAGCAAACATTCGTGGGCTGTCGTGCGGCGACGGGTAGAGCCTGCTGTTGCTGCGGCTTCCATATCCGTGCGGTGGTGGGTGCTGCGGCTGTTGCTGGACAGCAGCATAATGTGGCTGCCAGTAGTGGTGCGGCTGATGGCCACCTCCATGATGGCCATGTCCACCACCAGGACATATTCGAGCCGCTGTTACTGGTGTTGTTGCCACTCCGCGTTCCGATTGGCCTGGGAGCCCTGTTGCCGCTACCTCTGCTGCCACTGCCACCACTGCCTCGGTTGGGATATGCGCGCGATCCCCCAAAGCCGTCGCCGTGCGACGATGACCCGCGACTCGCTGTGATGGCGTGTCTGGTGCACCGAATGCTCATAGTTCTGCTGCGAGGCATCCGCTGCCCAGAGCGATGCCGCGCTGGCCGAAAATGGACTAAACATTGGCCCAACGGCAGTCAGATCCGCACCAACGCTAAATCCGCCGTAGCCCATGTAGCCGGGCATCGGCGCAACCTGGGCTGGGTGGTAGTTCCACGGCTGCTGCTGGTGCTGTTGCTGGTGCTGGTGCTCAGCCATGGACCCACCGGCAAACCCATCCGGCTGGCCCACCGAAGCAGGAGGCGGACCCTGGTGAGCCCGAACAGCTCCATCAGCATCACCGGGGCTCTGAGCCGACGCTGTCGCGGTCTCTGGGCGTAGTCTGTGCCTGCCGTGCGAGTGCTGCTGGCCCATGCATGCCGGGGCGTAGGGCTGTTGCCTTGGTCGGCTGAGAAGAATCCGGGACGCGTTACCCCGTATGTGTAAACAGCGGGCTGCTGCTGTTGCCCAGGTTGAACAGCGGAGGTCGAGCTGTGAATATGAGGGACATACGAAGGATTGCTGGTGCTCATGTCTGATTCGCTCCGAAGCTGCTGGTGCTGCGACTTTGAAAGGTTTGGTGCCTCTCGCGACGAATCGTGCACTGGTATAATCTTGCCCACCGCTCCGCTACCACCGACAGATGCGCTGGATCGAGGAGTGCTGCTAATACAGGCCGACTGGTCGCCATCGCCAAAATATCAGCCAGCATGGTATGAGGCAATAGCGGCTGGGGCGGCGGAGTCAAGCCGGTTGATCTCTCTGACGCGATTCCGCTCGTGCTGGGATCGTTGATATCGTCTGGCGCCGGTCGGGCATATGGTACTCACTGTGTCCTCCTCCTTGCGTCGGGTGTGCGCTAGCTGCTGGAACCGTATACGCAGCAGCGGCGTCGGCTGCCTGGCAGTACTGGTGTTGGCTAGCGGCAGACTTGGCAGCTGGCATAGCTGGCAGGGTGCCAGTGCTGCCGATGCACTGCTAGCAGTGTGCTGTAGCGACTCCTTATTAGGTATGGAGCGCCAGCTACTTGCCATCTTGGCCTTTGACATCGGCTCATGCTTGCCTCGTTCAAAGCTGTTGTGCTGCTGCGGTTTACTGTCATCCCGAGCAACACCTTCTGCTGCCGGCCATGACCGGAGTTGGTACAGGAAGATTCCAGCTGTTTGCTGCTGCTGCATGCTTCGGCTGGTATACTTGTGGCGAATTAAACAGCGTCCTTCTGTGCATGGCCTGACCGCCAGTTGCCCCACGCTCCGATTATCACGTCCATCCTTGCGCCATGACTGCCCCCGGCTCGGTCCTGCGCTGTGCTGCTGTAGTAGGGCGCGAGACACCATTACTCTTCACGTCCTTGGTGCGCTGACTGACTGCTGGCTGCTCCTTGGATTCTGGCGATTCCTGTTTTGATGTCCCGTGTGCTGGTGCAAGGGCAATTGCTGACTCGACTGCTGGCTCATGCACCGCCTTCTTGCTTGTAAAGTTGGAAGCCGGCACCACCTGCCCGACATTACCCCCGACTTCATCGCAGCCTCTTCTGTCCCATTCGCTTCCGGCAACTTGGCCATAGCACTGGTTCTTCGATGCTGGCTGTGTCGGCAGCACTGTCATCTATATCCCCATCAATATGCATAGTACTGCGCATGCCTGCTCGCGTAAGCAGGCAGCGGTGGGACGACTGTGGGGACTGGCGCCTGGTGGCGTCGACCCCGCGCTGGAATCGGCCACTGCGCTCGCTTCTGTCAGCCTGAGACGCCCGTGGCTCTCCTCTGTCCAGACCGCTTCTGCATCTGTCGCAGCTGCTTAGGGGACCCAGCTGCAGCAGGCTGGCAGTTTTTGCTGTTGCTGCTGCTGCCGTCGCGAAGCATGATCAGATGTCGCTGCTGTTGTTATTTCTGGCCGTGGAGCTGCTCGTGCACCCACCAGACAAGCTTGCCTTCCACCACCGTGTATTTGGTGATGCATCCCCGGCATCGTCAGTCTTGGCTGGTGCAACCGTCTTGGCAGGCTTTCCCCAGACCTTTACCTCGACCTTCCGATCAACGGACTGCTGCTGCTGTTGTTCTTGTTGTTGCTGCTGTTTATCTGCGCTGTTGGCCGTGGGCCAAGCTGGGCCATTAGTCTCTGCGACTTCACCGGCGATTTGGCCGATTTGCTGGCATTTGGCTTCGATTTGATGTTTCGCTCGCTCGATTTGACTGGCTCCGACTTTGGATCTGCAGCAACAGCAACGGCTACTGCATCTGGCTGCTGTGGTTGCTGTTTTAGGTGCAGCAGTAGCTAGTGGTGGCTCCTTGGGCTGAGGAGACAGTGGCACAGGGCTTATCCGCACCGTGGCACCATCACCAAACTCCAGGTCCTGCGAGAAATCAATGCCTTCGGTATCAAGCATCTCGTCCCACTGCTTGCTGCCGTTGCTCTTGTTGCTTCCAACCGGCACTGGCGTAATCTGGGGTAGCTTCTGGCCACTTTTGGCAGCACCGGCTTTTCCTTGGGACCGCCTGCTTGCTGCCCAATATGGCAGCCCCCGTCGATGTCGCCGCGTCATCCACAGCCGCGTTAGCCCTTGCACTCATCCGGCGACCGGCGCGCCAGCCACGGATTCTCCTGCTTCCCGGCATCTGCCGCAGCCGACCCAGGCTTTTCAGCAACCGCCTGCGGTACCTCAGCCAGGTGTTTCTTTGGCACAGTTTCCGGCGCTGTTCGACAGCTTCCGGTTCACAAGCAGTAGGCCCGGATGCCCACTGATCTCTCCTTTTGCTCCGTCGCCACCTTCGGCCCATTGGCGTTGGTAAGGTTTGCATGGGCTGCTGCCGTGTCGCCGGGGCGCCACCAACTGGCAGAGCTCGGAACAGACGGGCGAAACACGGCCTTTCGTGGCCAGAAGTCCGGTTACCGCTGCGCCCGCCCCCTCGCCCGGTTACCTCTGCTGGTGCTGTTGCTCTCGCCTGACTCGCTGCCTCCTTTGTTGAAATTTGCCCTCCGACCGCCTGGCGCGCCATTTGAAGTGTGCAGAGAGAATACAAATAGTACGATAATAGATGCAAGTAAGGGGTTTGGTGAAATAAAAAAGGGTGTGAACTTTCCCTCTGCGCACACGCGCGCTGCTAGGAAATAACGGGTGTGTCTGTTTGCTATAGCCGTTGGCAGTGGTCTGTTGGTAGAGCTCCTCTCTCCCTGCCGCAGTCAGTTCAAGCGCTGTAAATAAAAATGCGTAATAGAAAGAGTGGGAGCAAAAGCAGGACGGACAAGGAGCCAAAACTGACACCCGGAAAAATCACAAAAAAGGTCCAAGAGTGATGAAACCACCTGAAAGCCAAAAATGCAAGGTACTCTTGCAGGCTGGTTCACGCCATGGAACGTGACCACTTCCCGCCACTGATCTTTGATTCCCGAACCACGATCAGCCACTCGATTCATATCAGCAGCGGCTGGCCATCATTGCTCACATTTCGCCTCAGCTCTCCTTTTTTTTTTTTCAGCTCCAAAATTCAAGAATTATTTTGCAATGGCGACATGTGGCCAAGTTCTCGCAAACATTCTACCACGTAAAGGCCGAGCATGCGGAAACTGCATTCAAGGTCTCCCTTTGTGAATGGACATTGGCGGCCGCCCCACTTCAGCCTGCGCCGGCAGGCGGAGCTCCCGCAAGGCGTGCCTCGTGCAGGGCATTGATCCGACATCCATTGGCATGTCCGAGCTGGCCGCCCAAGAAGCCGGTGCGGTCGAAGCCGCCAAAGGGACACAAGCACAGCGCACATATGCTGAGAAGCAGGCCATGATCCAGAAGAACCTGGACGAGATGCCCGAAAGATCCGCAAGTGAAGGAGGTAAGAAAAGCCTGCATGGTGGGAGGGGGCGTCGTAAGGCACCGTAAGGCATCAAATGTAGGGTCGCACTGCAATTGCACTAATGCAGCCTTTCTCTGCATGTAGGATCTGGCCAAGGAGAAGGAGAAGAACAAGTCGTCGTTGCCATTCTAAACATACTTTTTTGTCAATATCATGATGTGGACAATCACTCTGCAAGATTAGTGGTAGATTTAAAAGACCTTGCCGTTCTGCAGGGCAAAGGCCAGATCTGACTCGAACCCACGGCTGCGTCCGCTGCTGTTGCCCGGCAGGATCAGACTACTGGTGTCCATCATGAAACCGCCGGGTTTTGCAGTAAGGCTGTTGAAGTCAAAATGCGCAGCAATATTCGGCTGGCCTGCCGAAGACATTGAAGCGATGCCATGGAACGCGCTTTCCAGGTGTGTACAGCTGCTGCGGATACTCGGCATGCACTGGCTGGGGTGTGAATGGCCAGGGTTGTTGCCAGAGATGCCGGCTGGTCAAAGATGGCCTGGTCAGTGATAATGTTGAGGCCCTGCAGCGTCTGGATGATGTCCTGTCTGCGGGTCTTTGGGCCGATCTCACTCGAGCAGCCACAGGGTAGTTGGCTGGCGCTGCCTGCAATGCTTGGGAGGCTACTGGCAGCGCTGCTTCCTCTTCGCCAGCACCATTGTCGTTTCCCTCGTCCTCGTCCTCGTCGTCATACTCATCGTCGTCCTCGTCCTCGTCATCATCGTCGCCAATATTATCCTCTTCTTCATCCATCTCCTCCTCGTCCTCCTCCGGATTCCCATTCTCATTCAAACACTGCTGCCGCCCGACGCCGATTGCGCACCCTCAGCGTTCTTTGCGCATGGAAACAGCAAAGTCCATCGAACCATCAAACGCGTTTCCTAATGACTGGGAGACCAAGCCCTGCGAGCACTCCGAAATGCTGCTAAAGATGCTTGCACTGGAGTCGGCATTACTCATTGAACCACTACTCTGCCGCCCATCGTGCTGCGACACACCTTGCCATGACGACGATGACGACGACGATGATGATGACGACGAGCTTTGCAGCAATTTCGCCACATCCACATCGGAAAAGATCTGGTCGACGATCATCTGGCTCAAGTTTCCGTCCAGCTGGCCCGTGCTCTCTGGGATTCTCGACGGCGTGATCATCGACGAGTACGGCGCCTGGCGCAAATGACTGTAGGCGCATGTGCTGTGGAGAAAGATTGGGATTTCGGCCGCTTTGCCTTGGGCTCCCCGCTACTCTGATGTCTGGCTGTAGGCGATGTCGGATTGCTTGATGGCTCGGCGGCATTAATTATGCCCAGCATATTATTCACGCTGTTGAGATCCAGTGAGCCAATGTCGCCCAGGAAGCCCTGTGAGCTGCGACCACCCGACATCTCGCTACTGTTCGAAATAGGCGACAGTGCCGACAAGTCCGCACGCTATTCTGCGCTGGCGGCTCGCACATCATCGGCATTGGAGCATTCATGGGCGCCTTGCGCACTAGCGAAACCGACCGCGCCGGCATCCGCGCACCTGCCGCCTGCAACACACGCGGGCTATCCAGCATGGCCGGGAACGCCTGCTTGGGCTCGCTGCCTGGATTGTGGTACTGCTTTGTGTATTTGACGTGCAAGTTCTCGGAGCTAGGCCCGTCCGACGTGACCTTGTATTCGTTGACCACAGCCAGCCTGCGGCGGATAAACGACCCGTTATTGTCGAACCCGTAGGAGCCCAGGTCGCTCTCGGTGTCTGCGTGGTCTTTGCGCTTGCGCGACTCGTTGGTCAGAAACTGCTTGTTCAGGTAGCGCGCAAACAGATCCTCGGGCGCTCCAGAGGAGGCGTACACATGGCTGGCGTTCTTCGAGTCAAATATCACCATGGCTACCTGCACACCGCACAGGACGCTGAGCTCGTGCGCCTTTTTTATCAGCCCGGCGCGTCGCCGCGCAAATGTCACAGTGCGCTGCCGCGAGTTTTCGATTTCGCGGATATTGATCTTCTTTCGGCCCATCCCCAAATGATAGGAAAGAACAGAAACTATGCTGCCGAATGACGCTAGCCAGAAATGTAGCTGATATATGGAATACCAAGCCAATATGTGATGTGTATGATGTGAGGCGAAAACAAAAAGCTGACAAGCGTCGTTGGAGTCTGGACAAAAAATATTGCAACAGTCCTGCAGAAAGAGGATCTTGACCATTTGGTTTTATGTCTTGCGGGTATGCGAGTTCCTTGACCTGCTGCAAAATGCGCCCTACTGCTCGCTTGCTCCGTCTTCTAACTGCTCCTGTGCGGCCTGGAGATACATAAAAGACCTAGACAGTGTACAGGGCTCTGGACAGGGTGTTATTTTTCAGCTACCGAAATGGAGCCACGCTCCCCCTCACCGTCTGCTACGAACATTTTCCAGCCCTGCTGTCGGAGAGGTATGCGCTCCAGGCTAGTAGTTACTATTTTTTATTTGTCTCCTTTTCAAAAAGAGGGGACCAAGTCCTTGCGGCATCGAGAAGTATGTGGAGACAAATGTTTGTTTGCCCATTCCCATCAAGCGCATATGCAAGCATCTCCACAAGATGGCTTACAGCGGCCATTGCTCCCACACACAAAAAAAACGCGTACTCCCGCACCCACGAAGGAACATGGAGTAGTGTGATTTGATTCGTTTTAATACCAGTCGCCGTCGTCAGCTGCAGCAGCCGCGTCCGGGTTCTGGTCGTCCTCCAAGGCCAGCAGCAAAGTGCCGAGCTTCTCCTGCAAGATGCGCGTGGCCATAATAACGACATTCTGCGGCTTAATGGAGCCAACAGTCTCGACATTAAAGTAAAAGGTCGTGGGCTCAGCCTTGTAATCAAACGGGGCGTCCGGATCTGTCTTGTCCTCTTCCTTGGCATTCTCGCTCAGTGGCCACTCCTTCTCAATGCTCTTCTCATACCAGTAGTCCAGATGGCGCAGATTATTGTGTGGGTCATATTCGAACGCCACCGCGCAACACGGCGACCACTTTGCGTGCTCCTTGGCCACGCCCTTCTTCGCAATACAGTGGATGTTGATTTCCTGGCCCTTGCGCAATTTCAGCAGAATGATCCCTGGGTCGTCGTCTCCCTCGAGCACCGGCACTACGCTCTTATTGCTGCTGATCAACTCATGGCTGGTCACGGTCCGTGTGCCCTCCTCGGTGCACTTTACGTGCAAACGGAATTCCACCGAGCAGTCCTTGCAGTAGTCCGTGCAGATACAGTCGCGCGTGTACTTGAACTTGTCCACGTCATGGCTTACCAAGGGGATCATGCCCAGGCGGTGCGCAATGAACTCGTCGGCAAGAACTGACGTGTTCTCGATGAACTCCACTAGGTCGATGGCCATTGTTGGTACTTCGGCGATCATTGTGCGCCGCAGCGAGTTAGCAACGCTACAAATTAAGGAAAGGCACTTGGTGAGCTTGGTGTTGTTCTGCAATGAGCTCCGAGACAACTAGTGCCCCACCGGGAGTTGCTTGCTGAGATTCCCTCTCCCTGTTGTGCAGGAAAAAAACGCGTACCTGAGATGTGTGTTGGACAAGACAAAGTTGACATTGGTCTGGTCTATACTCCGAATGCGAAGCTGCGGGTCCGAGTCGCCGGCGCCAAAGGTCTCGCTCTCCATTTTGCGAACACGAAATGAAACCGAAAGAGCAATAAACTGTCGCGAAACAAGAATAAAATTGAAGAGGTGCAATGGCCCATTTGCCAGTTGACGAATGAGCCAAGGAGCGAAAATGGTGATCTGATTGCGTGATCTGCTCTCGGAGCCGAGCTCCGTGTTCACGTGTCGGAGTCTGGCAGGTTTGTCTGGCACCAGCGGCCAGCTGATATTTGCCGGTTCCAGACTGCTAGAAAGGGGGAGCTTGCTGCGGACGTCATATGGACAAACAAAAAATCTGTACCTCCACTGTAACTGGGCATTTTGCGGTATCTGAAGTGTGGAGTATTTCTCCCGCACATGGGGACATGTGGGAGGGTGTCTTGGCAAAAGTAGCGAGTATTTGAGGACGTGGAAAAAAGTCTGTGACTATAGCAGTAAACACACTATCCCTCTCCATGCAACTCCCGATTTCTTTGTCTCCGACAAATGAAGGCATGCATGCTTGCCAAGAGCAATAAGAGAATGTGAGGCGCCGTGTTTGGCAAATGGATGCTGCATTCGGTGGAGCACTGCGCAATGAGAAGAGCCCAGGAAAACTGAAAAACTATTTTTAGGGTGCTTCAGGCACTAGCGTGTTGCAACGATCGAATGCATGGGGGTGGTGTCAGGCATGCATAGCCCAACATGGACCCCCATGCATATGAAATTGGTTGGACGGTAAAAAAACGCGGAGCTCCTATCTGCTGCATGCCTTTATCTACGAACCGAAGCGGCTTTGTCATGATATGCTTGGCAAAGAAAGTTTGGGTGGGTCGTTTGCAAGTCCGATACGTTCGATTTCGCTTTCCGGCAGTTTGCCATAGCATTGAGTAAGCACCAGGTGCATTAGTAAGAGAATCCCCGGTGGCTGCGCACTATACACGCAGATGTTCTTTGTTTCCAGGGGGTTCCAGATGGCATGACAAATATTGCATTGCTGACAGGAACTTTTGGGCGGACACGATAGTTGGCAATAATGCTGATGTGGAGAGGGGAAAACACGGCTTGGCATGTGAGAGGCAAGGGCAGAAGATGAGTTTCTTTTTTTTGCCGAGAATAGTAAACCGCCATTCAATTGCCGACATGGTTGTTGCAAGTCGGATGCGAACGTAGGCGCAGAGGCCAAGGGGGATCACCCAATCATGGCACGATGTTTTTCTATTCTTCTCGCCAAGCATGGGTTCGAGTGTTGGGGGGGCGAATAAAATTTTCGATATAAAAGCGGCTTGCCATGCAAAAAGCGATTGCGGCTGCGCTTTTTTTCAGTTTTATTCCTCACATTTTTTCTTCTTCTTTATTGTACAGATAAGTCCGCACTATTCCTCCCACCACTTGTAGCTTGATACCACCAAAACAAAATTATTCAGTATGAATTTCTCGTTTGCATCTGCACCCTCGACACCGTTCATTGCCCAGGATGGGCAGACGCTTATTCCACCCAAATCTCAATTCAGTCTTTCAAAGACGGCGCGAGCAACAGACCCACTAAATGACATTAATTCGCCCGCGGCGTTTCAGTACCTGCAATACATGACAAGCCCGCTGTTTATCGATTCGGGGCTGGCCGAGTACGTGGGGACACAGCAGAGCTCGCCAAAACGCGCGGCGCCGCAGCTGTTTTCGTCAGCTGCTGCGCATCCCGCAGCCACAGCCAGCGCACCGCAGCTTCTGTCGCCATCCGCAGCGGTCGTGACCGACGGGCCGCTTCCGGGTTTCGTCGATCCGGCCGAGGTATTCACGACGCCAGAGATCCGGCCGCTGACGGACCCGACAATGACGCCCCATCAGCAGCAGTTCGATGACGCACTGGTGACGCCGCGGGAGCGCGCAATCACACACGACATCAGCGCGTTCAGCCCACAGACCGCGCAGACTGGACTGTCGTTGCTGGCAGCGTCGGCGACGTATGCGCGCGGGGCGAATGGGCCGACGCCGTCGTCGTCGCAGGCAACAGTGGAGATCGGGTCGCCGTTCCTGACGACTTCAGGCGAAGACGCGACGCTGATGTCGCAGCCGCAGAACAGCCTGGCGCAGCACGTGTCACCGCCCATGGCGGACCGCGGGGCGCCGCTGGGGGCTGCGGTGATGGCACTAACCGGGCGGTTTGCGCGCAGCACGGCATTGCTGCGCAATGCGTCGGCAATGAGCGCCGCCAGCTTCCACAACGACCTGGTGCCGGCCAACGAGTCGTTTTTCGCGCCCCTGGACGAAGTCTGCTCGGACAACGAGGCCACACAGCAGCGGCAGTCGCAGCGCCTTCTGTCGCCGCGCACCATCCGTCGCGCCGACCCGCGCAGCCCACCGATGGGCTCGCAGTTCTCGCCGGTCCTGCCATTGCGCCAGCCGCCAGCCCCGCCACTGATGCCGAAGCAGTCCGGGTTCCGCCCGCCTGCCTGGCCCACGCCGCTGTCGCGGCCGACGCTGCCATCGCTGGTGCGCCCGGCACTACCCCCGCCGGTGTTTGCGCCGATCCCCTCATTGACCAGCAAGCGGGAGTCGCCCGAGGCCCTGGAGCCACTGCACAAGGAGCGAAAGGTGCATAAGCGCGACATGGAGCGCCGGTTTGACTGCGATTTATGCGACCGGTCGTTTGCCCGGCAGTATAATCTGAAGACGCACCGGTTGACACACTTCCCCGATGCCCGCGAGTCCCGGCCCTTCCAGTGCCCGCACTGCACCAAGGCCTTCACGCGCAAGCACGACTTGCAGCGCCACGCCGTCCTGCATGAAAGACGCGACCGTTACCAGTGCGACAAATGCCAGCTGGGCTTCCCCCGCAAGGATGCGCTGAAAAAGCACACCGAGGCTGTCGGCCACTAAACCTACAAGTCTTTACTTCCTTGAATACATTATTGTCGATTTTTATGTATGGTTCGCTTAATTTTAACCACGCCATAGAAGGGGCAGCAGTCAAACTCAAATAGCGCCAAGATGCTCTATGCAAAAAACGTGACAGGGTGCGCTCAAAAATCATCGCCCTTTTACAAGGCTGTCAGTGATCCAGCTCCCTACCACAAAAAGTTTGCGGGTTTTGCAATAGTTATTCTATCCCCTTTTGCCCTGCGCCAGCCCGCCTTTTGTGAGATCGCCGAATGCCACCGGCTGTGCTTAATATGGGCAGGCCTATTGTCGCACGCCCTGCCCTGCTGACCAACTGACTTATAAATAGCCTATCAGCGGCCGCAGGCTTCGCTTCCCCATGTCTGCATATGGCCAACTGACATGTAGTGCTCTGTTTTTGTGACGCACTAGCGTATATTCATCATCTAGAAGGCTTTTAGTTCTTTTTGATACACTTGGGCGGTACAGTGCTGGTGGGAGCAGCGGTCGGGTAAACCGTATCGGTGGGAGCAGCGGTCGGCGTAGCAGAGCCAGTCGGCGTGGCCGAACCCGAGGGAATCGCGCTGCTCTCCGGTCCAGTAATCCCATCAACAATCAAGTTGTCGTTGACATTGCTGTTCCCGATACCAAACGTCTTGATGAGCCCCAAAATCTCCTCGGCGCTGAACTTGTGTCCAGGATCACGAATCAGAATTGACGCAGCAATACCCCACAGATACTGCATGCGGGATGCTGGGTGGATTCCGTCATAGAAGAAGTGGTTGTCGGGGTCCTGGCAGATAGTGACTGCGCCGGCGCTATCCTTGTTATAGCATGCGTGTGTCGAATCAGATATTCCCATAGCTGCAAGGACCTGCGGCGCCAAGGCCTGGTTCATCAGTGCGCCAAGGTCCAGCAAATGCACACCGCGGGCAACTGCCGGCTGCAACGCAGCCTTGACCTGGTCATTGATGGCTGCGACCATTGGCGCAACCAATGCGCCAACACCCATCTGGTTGATATACGGGACCTTGTCGACCGCCGGCAAGTTCCACACGTAGATGTTCTTGTACCCGGCATCAAGCAGCTTGGTGATGTCTCCAGCGATATTATTACCCAGAGCCGTAGCGAATTTTTCCACTGTCAAATTACCAGACAGGACCTTCTGGGCGTTGCCGAAGATATCGTTGCCACCGATTTCCACCGCCACCACGTCGTTCTGCAGACTGTGCTGCGACAGGTGCGCAGGATCCTTGAGCCACGCATTGACCTGGTCATGGAAACTAGGGACGGTTATGTTACCGGCCATTGCCGGCGACAGATCGTTGTTGGAGGTGGCACCACCGTACGCGTGGTTCTCGAGGTTCATGCCTAGGAGCTTGGCCGCGTACTCGTTCCATACGTACGAGTTGCTGAACCGGCCCTGCCAGAATCCCGAGGACCCGGTCAGTTTTTGTATGTTGCCAACGTCCGAGAGCGAGTTGCCGAAAACTATCAGGTTGTCCTGGACAGAGACTGGTGCTGCAGCAACAAACGTGCTGGCGACAGCAGCGAACAGAAAGCCAACTTTGAACATTTTACGAATACGGAGGGTTGAAGGAAGGTATCAGGCAGCGTTGTATGTAAGAACAGGGAATTGTTTGCCAGAGATGCGAAACCGGCTAATGTCCCATGCTTATAACAGGACGGGATTGAGCTATGCCGCGGTTCGTCTTTCCGGACCATGCAGACTGGCACTGGTCTCGGGAGGCGAGATAGCGGCATCCACTCATTTGCAATGGCTGACTGGTCTGCTTTGCGAGAAATGCCAATCTGGATTTCCCCATCGCTGCAGCAACACATGCCGATCCACAAAACGAACCGCCATCTGCCACCATTTGCCACCATTAAAAACATCGCACCTTGCCCGCTCCCTTATTTTAGTCATTTCAAGCTGTAAATCAAAATAATGCCTTAACGAGGAAGACTTGAGCAAAGTCTGTGCGTACCAAACGTAGTCATCTTTAGAACTATCATGGTATATAGACATTAACCGATATATCTACCTCACTGCTATTAAAACTGCCACATATTTATGAAACCGATACCATGGCCTCACTTGATTTGCAAAGTAAATAACCAAAAGTACTGTCAACAGCATGTCTCTAGTGCTTCTTGATGCACTTGGGCGGTGCAGTGCTGGTGGGAGCAGCAGTCGGGTAAACAGTGTCGGTAGGAGCAGCAGTCGGCATGGCAGAGCCAGTCGGCGTAGTCGAACCCGAGGGAATCGCGCTGCTCTCCGGTCCAGTAACTCCGTCAACAATCAGGTTGTTCTTGTTGTTGCTGTTTGCAATGTCAAAAGTCCTGATGAGCCCCAAAATCTCCTCGGCGCTGAACTTGTGTCCAGGATCACGAATCAGAATTGACGCAGCAATACCCCACAGATACTGCATGCGGGATGCTGGGTGGATTCCGTCATAGAAGAAGTGGTTGTCGGGGTCCTGGCAGATAGTGACTGCGCCGGCGCTATCCTTGTTATAGCATGCGTGTGTCGAATCAGATATTCCCATAGCTGCAAGGACCTGTGGTTCCAAGGCCCGGTTCATCAGATCCATGAGGTTGAGCTTATGCACACCGAGAGCTACTGCCGGCTGCAGTGCAACATCAATCCGATTGTTGATCTCATCAACCAGCGGCTTCACCAGCGAGCCCATCCCTATCGATGTAATGTACGGAATCTTGTCCACCGCCGGCAAGTTCCACACATAAATGTTCTTATACCCAGCCTTGACGAGAGCATTAACGTCATCTGCGATGTTTTTACCCAAAGCCGTCGCAAAATCATTCAGCGTGATGCTGCCATTCAAGATATTTGGCACGTTATGGAAGATATCGTTGCCACCGATTTCCACCGCCACCACGTCGTTCTGCAGACTGTGCTGCGACAGATGGGCAGGATCCTTGAGCCACGTAGTGACCTGGTCGTGGAAGCTGGGGATGGTTATGTTGCCAGAAGTTGCCGGTGACAGGTCGTTGTTTGAGGTGGCGCCGCCGTACGCGTGGTTCTCGAGGTTCATGCCCAGGAGCTTGGTGGTGTATTCGTTCCACACGTACGAATTCGATGCCCGTCCTTCCCAGTAGCCCGGGGAGCCGGTCAATGCTGCCACATTGCCATTATCGGACAGCGAGTTGCCGAAAATAATTAGGTTATTCTGGACAGACACTGGTGCTGCAGCAACAAGCGAGCTAGCAATTGCAGCGAAGATGAAGTTGACCTTGAGCATGGTTGTCAAACGAAAAAGAGCAATTAGAAAATGTCAGTATTAAACGGTACAAGTTAGCGCGGTATAAAAAAGAGCAGGAACCCCTTGCCAGGCCATCCATTCCGTGCACTAGCCTGGCTTATGTATGTGTCGGCAAGTGAGGGCGTGTGTGATGAGCATGTAGTTGGTAGGACGAGGGGACTGGTAGACCGAAAGGAAGCTAAATCATTCTCGTATGAATGGCGTGGATCATCGAGTGTTTTCTTCTGCAACCACAGCTGAATGGGAGTAGATCTACTGTGTACAAGGAGGTTGCGGTAATCACACAATTAGAATATGCAACGGAATATGCATGCAAAACACGGAGCGTGCGGGCATGGCCAAGAGCGAGAGCCAACATATGACCAGGTTTCCGAAGATCCATTTCGGTAGCTAGAAAACTCTTGGCAGGAAAATAGCGAATGACAACGAGATAGTGCCTGTGAACCGAGCCAGATACGTTACATTCTTGTGCTCACTAAACCTACACAGCTATTTTTGTGCATCCTCAGCTATAAACTAATAGATAGCGCTAATTTGGAAATGGTGCATGCGAAATAAGCATGTGTGTATTGAATGAGCAGGCTATTCATGATTTATTTCTTACAACTGCTTTCTCATTAAAGGAGCAAGTGATATAGTTTACGATTCTGAATCCTCTTGAAAACGGTGGGATCTGTAATATACTCTGGAAAATTGCCTCTCTAAAATGGGCTGTCTAGAGGCATTTCATTTATCTTGTCTAGATTTGGCCCATCTAGTATCAGTTAATTCTTGACGCGGTCAATTTCAGCCTGATGCATAGCATATTTTTCTTCAAGTTGCTGGAGGATAGTCTTTGCACGCACTATTCATCTTATTTCTTGGCCATCTGGTCTTATTTCCTCTGTTTCTGCAGCTTTCTCTGCGGGCTTACAAAAAGGGCAGCATTGACCTTTGCTGTCATACCTTGTTTCTGGGTACGAAATAAAACATGATGTTGATATACACCACCCCAAGAAGAAACGCCCCTATATGTTCAGATTCAATCGCAGCAAGTTCAATCGATGTAAAAGTAAATTGCTCAATGAATCCTGCATACTTAATGTCATATAGACACAATAAATATAAATATCAACCCTGTTAGAACCCTACTTTTTTTTTTTTTATGAACATCCTGCCTTGCACCTCAAAGCCATTCAGGGTATGTGAACTATAGATAATAGCGTTCAGAACGTACTATAGGTTTAAAACTCTTGCTAGTTATTCCCGAAGTTTGGCACTATAGTAATATTACAACGACACCTGACTCATTGATGAAGAGTTAGAGTTAAATCTACATTTCTATGATATTAGAATACCTAGGCAAATCAAGTTATGGGCTTCTGATACTGTTAAGGGTATCTAATCATGATTCGCCATGCTCAACGTGTTTATCGCACATAGTAGGCACGATGTCCATTAACTTTCATAATGAAGATGGCCATCTGTATCCAGTTGGAAGTGGTATTAATGTATAATTCCAATGTGCATAATTGAACGAGTTTATTCAATCACCCTGTCACAAGATGTTTCACGGTTTTCAATTAAAATGAATGTATACAACTACTTCTTAAAGTACAGGAATTGCGTGGGGCATGTGTCGCTGCTACCCGGCTGAGTCGCAATGTAAGTGTTCAGGTCCTGGACACTGAAGTAGGTCCAGACCTCGTTGAGCTCGCTGACCTTGGTGGCAGGGTTAGTCTTGCACTTGAGCACGACGTTGACGCCATGCTCAGTGTTGATAGCCTTCTTGAAGTCGGCAGCCTGACAAGGTTCGTGTTGTCCGGCACAATGCTGTGCTTCTTCAGGGCAGCAGCATAGTCGTACTTCTTGTGCAGGTTCATGGCATTGGTGAAGTAGTCGACGATGTCCTGGTCCTTGGTGTACGACTTGTAGCACTGCGGGCGCAGGGTACTCACACAGGTACCGTGCTTCGACCACTCATGGCCCCAGAAGTCATCATTGGGCTTGCCCTTCGACGGCCAGTACTTTGTCATATCAGTCACCAGCGCAGGCTTCAGCGGCTTGATCAGCGCCTCCACTTTCTTGTACACCCGTGAACTATCGCATCCGGCAGAAGGGGTCAATTTACCCGCACAGGTGTTTGGCCACAGACCGTGCATGGTGAAGTAATCATCGGTGCCCAGCCCCTTGGTCCATTGCTGCGACAGGACGTACTGGCCGTTCTCCTCGAAGCAGCAGTGATCGGTAGTCTTGGTCTGTGTGAAGCACGAAGAGGACGCCGGTTGGGCACTTGTCGTGCGTCAGGTTGGCTGAGGTAGGTGCAGCGCTGGTTGAGGTGGCCGACTTGGACTTGGACTTGGCTGCAGGAGCAGGAGCAGGAGCAGGAGCAGGAGCAGGAGCAGACTTGGCCTTGCCTGTTGTTCCCTTGGAACCAACAGCCGATCCCTTGGTGCCAGTAGGGGCGCCCATGGCAATATCGGGCGAGGCGATGAGGACGGCGCAGGCAATGAAGGTAATGGAGGCGAAGCGCATGGTAGTTGGCTGGAATTGGGTGGAGGGGTTTTAATGCAGAGACTTGTTGAGGGTGCAGGTGTATGCAGAAGTTGGTGATGATGAGTATTTATATGGCAGATGTAGAAACCAGCTCGCCTTTTATACCGACACGACCATTCAATTTCCAGGGCGATTCTACCTGCGATTGCCGGCTGTGCCAAGGCATGCATGATGGATATCGGTGCTACCTATGACGCATGCCAATGCAGTAGCTGCAAAGACACTAGGTCCTTTTTGCCGACTATTCTATTGCCATTAAAGTTAGGATTATCAATATGGCTTGCATTCATGAAACCGAGGGGTCTTCTGAAGTGTATGCGCCAAGCACAGACTAGCAGGGTGGTGATTGAGCCGAGGATTCCAGCGCTATTTTAAAACTCAGCCCATGCATGTTGGCTAGCTTGGCACCTTAAATACTAAAAATACAACTGGTGTTGTGATTTGCATGTGGATCTCGTGGAGTGGGCTAGCTAACATGTGCTCGTTCACAGAAGCTGCAATGATCCACTGATATCAGAAGCATGGTAGGATTAGGTACAGGTAGTGTGTAAACGAGTGCTCTTCAGCGGACTGTCAGTACAGTGGGCTAGAGTATAGGGATAGAATACATGTTACGCCTGCATCACTTCAAAACCAATACGAAAGCATACTTTTCCCATTGAAAATACTGAGCTACTTTTTTAAGGTTCTGCTCGTACGCCTGGAACAGGGCGCCATACGGCGTAGGCATGCATTCACGGACATAAAACTGGAACAGGGCCATGATCATCTCTTTCTCCCTCTCGCAGCACTCACGGGCCTCTCTCTGTAAACCAAAAACACCGCAATCCTAGCCCATGTCGCAATCCACATTACACACGTTTCCAGTTTCACCCCCGTCTGCAATGCCTTGTATAGATATCCGACGACAACATTCGCAAGCACACCGTCAGTGGTCTTGGGACAGAACCAGCACATCCACAAGGCGATATTGAGATCGCAGAATGTCTCCCAGGCGCGGCCAGCCATAAATGCACTATCCAAGTCAGTTTCCAGGACATTTCGCAATACCATGCAGGCGTCAATTAGATCGTCGGGGATGTCGTAGGTGTCCGAGTGCTTTTCACTGGCATCAAGCAAGAACATGTAGAAATGCATGCCAAAGCGGCAAAACGCATCCACGGGTAGGTCCGGTACATTCCATGCATGTAGATGTGCTTGGGTGTAGGAGAGATCAACAAGTCTCTGTAATGTGCTGATCCAGCGCTCCTCAGGCTCGTCCGCCCACCCGATATCCTTTTGCCACCAGGGTTCCATGTATTTTACCAGCTGTCGACCAGACGATTCGCTCAGGACTGCAGATGGCGGGTTTTCTGGCGATCCGGGTGGTTCGGGCGAGCTGGAAATCACGCGGGAGAACCGGCGCCGGCCCCTTGGCGGGGGAGAGGATGTCCGGGGATACGCGACACGGAATGCTGAGCGGCTCGGACGAACTGGACGCCATCACACGGGAAATGCGGCGATTGCGGAGGCGCAAAGGCGAAGGGGATATGTTTTTCGATACAATCATCTGGGACAAGCGGCGTGTAAGAATACGAGGTGGCGCGGGGGAGCTATCGGTGGATAAAGTACTCTGGCGAGCTACTTTCGATACGCGGAGCCATCCACTTGATTGTTGGCTACATGTGCAAAATGGATATTTGGCACTTTGGAATTCCCTCCCTAACACCCGCAAAACAAGCACTTACCTTTGTGTGCTTCCTGGGGTTCATCACTTTGCCTGCAACCCTAATACACACACTGCATTCCATGACATGCGGACGCAAGGCCGATATGGTCATAGTGCGTTTGCACAAGCAAGTAGCATGGTCACTATCGGGCTTGGCGAATTCGAGCTGGACACCTGGCACAACAGTGGATTTGAGAGTGCGGTTGTGGGTGCGGCGGTGGGTATCGCGAGTGTTCTTGTTAGTAAAGCGCTCATGGCAGACGGTGCACGAATGCGCATACTGGACGAAGCGGAGTCTGGGCATGGTATAAAAAAGCTTTTAGGGCGAATCCAGACAAGAAAAAGGCTTGCTGTTGGAATGGCTTGGAGGTTTTATATGTAAACTTTTTTCTTTTCGGTAACTCGCAACATGGTGGCATGTGCGCCCTGCATATAAAAGAAATGGCATGTCCCGGGATAACCTGTGGGTACCATAGAATCAATGCAAGGCGTTTTAGGGCGGCGGACCAAGATGGCTTCGCTAACACAGTTATTGTTTTCACTACAGCAAGCTACAAAAAAAAACATTCATGTTTCGCCTTCCTCTTCATCCTCTGGCGGCAGCGGGTAAGGGCTGGTGGCTCAGACTTCAGCGGCACGAATGCCGGCTCCTCGACCGGGCTCCTCGACCGCTTTCCCAGAGCCCCACGCATCTCCTGCTGCTTCCTGATCTGCAGCTCGCGCTGTCTGACGACAATCTGGCTGGTAGCAGCCACAGTCTCCTTGACCTCGTCCTCGTCCAAGAGCGCCAGCGGCGTGTTATCCTGGCCGAGCCACCCGGCCACGCCCGACACATCGGACCCCTCCAGAGGCAATCGCAATAGGGCTGAGATGGCCTTGCGGGTGAGCTCGGCGACATCCAGCTGCTCGTCACTGGACAGAGTCTGCAGCCCATCTTTGCTCAAAAGCGTCTGGGCATTGGGCACATTGATTTGCGGGCTCCTCGACGTCCAATGCATTGTAGACGCCCAGGCTGCCCGGCGACTCGGCATGGAACTGGCCGCCAAAGGCCTTGTTGTAGGGCCAGGCGCTCGACTGGGTGCTGCGGGCGTACGGCCAGGTAAAGGCGAGCCGAAGGCGCCGTGCGGGCTGGGTACATGGTGGATGCTGCCCAGAGAGCTGGCAGACTGAGCGCTGGGCGAGTCAAGGAAGCTGGCGGGGGCGCGGCTGCGCGGCTCGGCCGGTGTCATGGCGTCCATGTCGAGCTGCACGTCATAATCAGGTTGCCAGACGGCTCGGCGGGACGCCGCGCAACTCAGCTTGCTCCAGCTGCACCAGCGCCTCGCCACACCCACTTGTGTTTCAGCAGCTCCTCGGCGGTTGGCCGCTTGCTGGGTGCCCGGGTGAAGCACTTTTGCAGGAAATCCAAGCCATCGCTGCCCACAAGGCTGGCGTCAGGTAACGGTGGACTATCGGCCACCACATGGTACATTATGGCCCATTCGTTGTCGAGGTGGGCCCAGGGTGCAGAGCCCGTCAGCATTTCGACTATACAGCAGCCCAATGACCAAATGTCCTGAGCACCTAGGGCGCCGGGCTCCGGGCGTTCGGCGGCCGGACCGGTGATGACCTCCGGCGCCATGTACATTGGCGTGCCGGTCAATGTAGCACCGTCACGGCCACGCCGCGTGCGCATGGCCAACGACTGGCGGTTGAGCACCTTGGCGGCTCCAAAGTCCACCAACTTGATGGTCATCGAGTCATCCAGGAGAGTGTTGTCGCATTTGATGTCACGGTGGCAGATGCCCGACGCGTGGAGGTAGCGCAAACCGCGCAGCATCTGCACAACAAAGAGCCTCGCGGTGACCTCGTCAACCCGCCCTTGCTCTTGGATCAGCTTGGCCAGGCTGCCGCGGGTACACAGCTCCATGAACAAATAGACCTTTTCCCGGTGCACCTCAATACCGTAGTAGGTGACAATGTTTGGGTGCTGCAGCATCGACATAACTTGCATTTCCCGCACAATCTTGCTGCCCTCGCCTGATAGCTTGGTCGGCTGTGCCGGGAACCGGATCTCCTTGACCGCCATTAGCTCGCTGGTATCCAGGTTGATGCCCACGTAGACGGAGCCGAATGCCCCGCCGCCGATGTACTGTCCGAGC